TTATTTGATATAACCTGTAGTTCATTTATTTTTACTTCAGAGTAATTTCTTTATTGGGTGGCTGGGTTTACAGGCAGATCCTTAAAGGCTGACCCAAGGCCAAGTCTTAAAACTGAGATGGGCTCATTAATTTACTCGTTCAACACTGTTTAGTCGATACTCTCTCATGCATTGTAGGAGAGAGTTTAGATGTGGCGACTAACAGGACAGTCACAGTTCCGTGAAATTATAACTTGCAGTTTTGACTTGACTCGCTTTTCCTGCCTTTTGTTTGCAAATGAGTACAATGTTTTGTACATCCATGACGAAGCAGCCAGCAGCTGGAAACGTTGTCCTCCAGGAGCCAGTTTGGCTCAAAATGAGCAGCCAAAGCCCAGAAAGGGGCAGACTGCACATTATTATTTTGTGGTTTTCGTTGTTCCCCCTGTGTCTGGGTTTCTAGCATAATTCCTCATCCATCATTGGTACAGTCAATGCCTGTTGAATTAGTAAAAAAACAGAAGAAATCTGTCCTATCTGCCTCAACTACCGCAGGCGTATACACACAGGTAGAGTCAATAAGAACGAATGATCTGATGGGATCATTGAATGGATGCTCTTATATCCTACAACCTCTTCTATCCTCCCACATCTCAGCCGACACCCTAACCTGCTTACCCAAAGTTCAAGGGCATCAGCCCACTGGCAAAGCCCACCATCTTAATGTTCAAAACGCACACAAAATTGTCTCCTCTGATGTCTGCCCCCCCCCAAACTTGCCTGCTCCTATGCAGCTCCTCCATCACCCAGCACTTGCTCCTGATTTCTGGCTCCTTTCTGTCCCTTAAGTGACCTCCCCAAAGAGGCCCTCCCTAACTGTTCTGACCCTTTCCCTTAACCCCTTACTCTGTCTTCATCCAGACACCCTCTCTTCTTAACCCACTTTCCTCTACAGACTTTCCCCAACCCTGTGGGGTTTTTTCTTCTGGTTTATTTTCTATTTGAAGCCCATCCTCCCCAGGCCCTCCAGTGGATGGATGCAGCCCTCAGTTGTCTGGTTTGGGCATTTGTCCCAGTCTGCCGGGATGATGCTTATTGGTCTCTGACATCATCCTCTTATTGGATCGGGGCTTGGAACAGTATGGACATTCCTTGTGCATCTGTTTGCTTTAGCTGTTATTTAACGCTGACCACCGTGCTGACCACACACTTGGTTTCCGTCCTTTTCAATCTGGATCTAAGTTAAATGGAAGGACTTTGCCCATTGTGTGTGAATTGCTGCTGGCATTGTTAACTCCCGACTGGGTGTGCACAGGGACAGGTGCTCTGACCTGTTCTCACCCTCATCATGAAAGTTATCCCCTCCAACCAGCCTGGAGATGACCAAGAAGAGCCTGGGAGCAAGCAGAGGCCAAAGATCAGTTCAGTCTTTTGTAGGCACAAGCCAGATGCTTAACATTAAGGGTACAAAAGCAAGAAAATAGACCAATATAATTATTGTTTACTAATTTTAAATTAAATCTTAAATGAAAAGAAAGAAACAGAAAGAGACAGAGAAATTAAGACTACCAAATAGAGAAGGGCTACCCAAATAGAGAAGCAGAGAGGATGGGCAGGCAGGAAAAGGTGGCCAAGTATGAGCCTGGCACTGCCCACCGGAAGGCTCATTTCTTGCCCAAAGGTACATGATCAGTAGGAAGCAGATGCTGTTTTCAATACTGCCCTGTAGACTATTGCGCCAGCCAGCCAAGACCTAAGGACATCCAAGGGCAAAGCCAGGCACCCCTCCAGCAGATTGCAGACTTGAATGTGGAGGAAAGGAACAGCAGGAAGGAGCTCCCGGTCTCATCACTGGTACCCCCACATTTAACCATGAAAGCAGGCAGGGCCCAGCTATGTCATTGTAACCAACTTAGGATTCTCGCACTTAGAAGAATCCTTTTTCACTACTCAATAGGAAATGTATAGAATTCTGCAGCTCTCTCCCATCGCCACCGGTATCATCCGTGACCTCAGTGTAATACTGGCAAGCCAGTCCCTGGGTAGAGGCTTAAAGCTCAGACAGAGCTCATGGTCTCCCCATCCTCTACCAGGCCTGAAAGAGACGGAGCAAGAAGGTTCTGAGCTGCTCAAGAGATTAAAGGGGGTTCAGAGAATGGGAACCTCATACTCCCTTTGACCCTTGCCTACAGAAAAAGGAGGCATACTCACATACTTGGCATGTGAGCTTTTATATAAGCAGCCCCCATGTTTGATTCTCTGCGGCGTGTGCACACTGAGTGCACGTGGGAAGGGGGTGAGCAGATGCAGGAAATGCCTGTGCACGTGTTTGCGCATGCGTGCCACCGCAGAACCAGGACCACACTCTCGGACATGCCCAGGATCTCAGACTAGACTGTTGTTTGTGCTTGCCTGCTTTACCGGGTATAATCCACGGGCAGCAAACAGCTTCTATCTACAATACCCAGCATTCCCCAACAACCCATTGTGCTTCTTCCCGTAACCACCCCACTTCCCCAGCAGTAACACTCTTCTGACCGCTCGCACCCTCAACTTTACCTTCCGATTCCGCGTCGAGGTCATCGCACAATACACGCTTTTTTGTTTAGTCCTTTCATCATTACGTCATGAAGTTCATCCACGTCATTGCACTGAGCGCTGGCTTTGCATTGGTTACTATCATGATGTTCTTGTGAGGAAGTATTTGACAGAAGCAATTTAAGGGACTGATTTGACTCAGGGATTCCGAGGGCTCAGCTGGTAGTTTCTTGGCCACGTGTGCTTAGGCAAGAGGGGGTGGGTTTTGGAGACTGTCTCACTTATTATACTAGAATAGGAAAAAGAACACAGGGGAAGTTCAGGGTAAGATGCCCTTTCCAGGGACTTGCCTCCATGATCTGACTCCTTCAATGAGGCCCGAACTCCCTAACTTTCACTGTTTCCTGATAATGCCATTGTGCTATGAACCCATCAATTGACTAGTCCATTATGTGAAGTGCCAGTCATCTAATCAATTCTGGAGATATCAACACAGACATATCCAGAGGTGTGATTCACCATATCCTAGGCATTTCTGTGTGTGTGGACAGGTGTGTACATGCGTGCATTGTGTGAATGTGGAAGCCAGAGGTCGAGGGTAGATGTCTTCTTTGATTACTCTCTGTTGGTATACTTTTTTAAAACTTTTTAATTTACTTTTTTATATCTCTTTCTCTCTAATCCACCCCAATCTCTTCCATCCACCAACACCAGGTAGGAGAGAGAGGATTAGTGGGAGAGGAGGCACAGTTCTCTTAGCTGCTTCCTGCTGGTTAGGTTCGTCAGGTGCCTTGGAGCCAGTCCAATCCTCATTTCAGGAGATCTCTGACTTCTCATCTCACTGCATCAACAGCAACAAGAGCTGAAGGGGGGAAGCAGAAGCAGCCTTGTTCTTTCTCGGAGCTCTTCCACACTCTCTGGGCTCTGGCATTTATTTGTTCTCTCTCCAGAGTCCTCAGATTTAAACTATCTGCAGCTGGCAAAGAGCTCCTCTCAGAGCCCTCGTGAGGCAAATAGTTTGCTGCTGTGGACCATCTGAATCAGTCCCACATCCCACACCTGGAGTTAAAACCAAAAAACATGTTTATATCCACAACAACTCTCCACCTTATTTTTGAGACAGGAGCAGTCTTTCACTGAAACTAGAGCTCACTGATTTCCTAGACTAGGTGGCAGCAAGTCTCAGAGGATTCCTCTCTCCCCACCTCCTCAGAGCTGGGGTTAGAGGTGTGTACCGCTACACAGCCTCAGATGTGGATGCTGGGGAGCTAAACTCAGGTCTTCGTGCCTATTCAAGCAGTCTAAGCACTGAACCATCTCCCCAGCTCCTCATAGGCATTCCTGAGTCCAATCAAGCTGACAGCCTAGAGTAGCAAGAGGCAGGAAAGGTGGTTCCCTGGTTAAGGGCACTGGTGGTCTGGGGCCCTCTTCTGGCCTCCACGGGTGCCAGGCCTGTGTACACAGATGGCACACAGACACACATGGGGGCAAAACGCCCATAAAATATTTTAGATAAATAAAAATATTTTAGATAAGGTGATCATGAGATGTTTATTCCTATCTGTTGCTGGAACTCTACTATGTAGATAATCCACAATTTATTTAGCTAGTCCACCATTGGGGTTTTCCTGAGTTTAGCTATTACAAACAACGTTACTGTGAAACCTCTAAGTTTTTGTGAGGTATAAGCACTTCTTTTTTGTGACTGTATCCCACAGCAGAAATGTTGAGCCAATCATATTATAAATCAGCCCTATGTTTAGTATCAGTAGACTTTTGTTTGTTTGTTTTGTATCATTTTTGTATCATTTGTTTGTTTTTTAAGATGGGGTTTTTCTGCATAGCCTGGGCTCTCCTGGACTCAATTTGTAGGCCAGGCTAGCCTCAAACTCACAAGAGATCTGCCTGCCACTGCCTCCCTGGGTGCTGGGATTATATGTATCATTGCGCCCAACTTAGTATCAGCAGGCTTAGTCAAAGCACTGCTACAGTTTATATCCACCAGCAAGTACAGACGCCCCAGTTGCTCTGTGTCCTGCGTCCTCATCAACACCTAATATGGTCAGTGTTTTTAAATTTGGCCATTCTGATGTCTGTACAGAGAGTTCATCGAAGCTTGAATTTACATTCATCTATTGAGTAATGACAGTGAGCAACTTTTGATATTATTGGACATTTAGGTAACCCCTTTATTCAAGTTTTCACACGAATACAATATATGTAAAAATAAGCAAATGATTGACAAAAGTAGTCACTGATACAGTCAGCAACCAATCTTTTCTGAGGTTGCTGACCCTAACTAACCCCTTCAAGCAGCAAACCAGTTGAGCTAGGTCAAATAGGGGTGGGGATGAATTTTTCATTTCAACCTGTATACCTGTATCTTAGACGTAGCAGGAAGAATATACTTGGGAAGCGAGGATCTCTACTCCAGATCTCAGAAGTCCCCTCACTCAACTTGCCGTTTTGTTCTTTAATTGCAGGAGCCAGAGAGTGACCAACCCTTGAACAACCATGGTAAGCTCAGGTCCCCGGGGCCTTTGAATCTCGGCTACTAAGCCACTCTCGTGCTAATGCTATGTGTGACATCAACCCACCATCCATCCATCCATCCATCCATCCATCCATCCATCCTTCAACAGAAAGCATTAAGTATTCATAAGTCCCAGGATTTGATCTAGACAAAGCCTGGTCTCTGAGGAAATATGACCAGCAGGCCTGAATGGTCAGCAACTCCCTAGTTTAATATCAGCTGGGTAGCAGCAGTGGCACAGCCTAGGCCCTGGCCACGTGGAGTTCATGCCACCAAGAATTCAGGGCACTGGTGTTTTACTTGTAGGAAAGAAAACAGCTGTGGGTTCCCAACTAAAAGAAACAAATAAATGAATAAATAAAAAAACCTCCCAGTTGTAAGGGTTTTACCCCCTCCTATTATATTTTTTAAAGTCCTTGACACCTATGTCTGACAGCCTATACATCAGCAAGACAAAAACAAAAAAAACAAAAACAAAACAAAACAAAAAAAAAACAGGGAACAAAGTAATGGGAACAAATTCTTAAGACAATGGCCAATCTCATTCACGGTAAATGATTTATTCAATTCACAAGTTAATAATGATAAGACACAATAACTCAGCAAGTAGAAACAGTTAAATGTAACGGTAGACCACAGAGTCCCCAAAGAGGGCCAAGCTTCCCATGGCTCTTCCTGTGTGCCTCACCCAGTGAACAAACCCAAGAATTGCCAAACCAGAACACCTGGCGGGAAGGAAGACTGTGCTGCAAGGGGTGGGGGTGGCTGTATAAACCAGGCTGGCTAGATAAGCCAACCAGCCACAGCAGAGGGCAAGTGTGTGTGTGTGTGTGGGGGGGGGCACAGGGATCTGAGCTCCTGAGTCTCAAGAGGTCAGGAAAGCACTCAGGTCATTCAACATCAGAAAGCCAGCCTGCCCATATGACTGGAGGGAGGGTGGTGCTGCTGAACTAGCAGTGAAATATGTTTGGCTCAGAAAATAAGGCCATTTACACTGTTTAGAAGATTCAGAGTCCTGAAGTCCAGAAGTGAATGTGACAGGATCCACTGGTGTCACTCAAGAAGGAAGGGACAGCGTAAAGGCCACCTTCCTAGAAGATGTGTCTAGATGCAATGGGCAGGACAAACGGACAGAAGGAACAATCAATAGCAGGGAGGCTGTTTATGAACTTTAGCTAAGTTCCTTGCTGAGAAACATCCCTTCCAGAAGAAGGAAGCCGGTCTACCCTGAGAACAGCCAGGACACAGCTTTGGGCCTGGACACAGGGCACGTGACTCCTTCCAACAGATTGTGCGCTAACCACAAAAACAAGCCAAGCTCATGTCCTTAGAAGCAGGTGTACAATAAACAAATCACTCATGGATAACTGAACAAAATACTGATGTGTCAGTGACCACAGGAACAGAATAATTCTGAAGACTTGGTGTGGGAGCTTTAAAAACAGGACCAGCTAACATTCTTGATTGCCTACTTTGTGCCAGATCCTAACAATTTGCAAGCCATACTATATCATATTCGCATCCTCAGTGCTGGGCCAGTTAAATCTCTCCCCTGGAGAAGCAGAAACTTTGAGCTTTCTTATCGACAGTCACTGATACCATCATCTAGGGGGCACTGGCCTCTCAGACACACCAGTCTCAGCTTCCAGTGAGCAGAGGAAAGTGGGTAGAGCACTGTTTGAGGCAGCGTAAAGGGAGAGAGCTGAGGAAAGGGCAGACAGGATGTGCTCCAGAGAACAGAGCCGAGAATGGATCGTTTCACGTTTTACAGACACTTGTCAGGTGTCTGCTGTGGGACAGGCTCTTCTCTAGGCACTGGAGGCTCTGCACTGCACAGAGGACACCGTCTCCATGGTGGTTTCCTTTCCACTTAAGGGAGAGGCGGGAGGAGACAGAAAACATGAAAAGTGTCGGGAAAGTAGGTCAGAAATGATCAGTGCTTTGGGGGAAAAGCAAGCAAGGAGGGGAGGATGGGAAACGTAGGGTGGTCGAATCTTGAACAGGAAGCTGTAGATGTGCTCCCACGAAGCAGACTGAAAGAAAGGCTGAAAGAGGTTGCAGTTGTAAGCCATGTGGAGGTGAAAGGAAGCGAGCCCCCCTATTGCTTCCCGGGTTCCTGAAGCTGCCATGTTTCTTGCCCAGCTCTCCTTGAGAGAAAGGCCCCCCGAACACCTCCTAAGTTCATTGCCTAAAGGAAAGGGTCCTGAGAAGATCCGGATCCTGTCTCTGATGCCCACTGAGACCTTTTCCCAACCTTGTCATGCTTCACCGCCTCATGTGTTCTTTTGTGTCACTGTGACAAATACACCTGATACAAACAACTTCACAGAGACAGGGTCTGTTCTGAAACAGTTTCAGAATGTTCTGGTCCATCACAGCGGGAAAGAGAGTGGCAGAGCAATTCACGTGATGCTGCAGAAAATGAGATACAGAAAAGGAAACAAAAAAGTAGGCAGAGAAAGTAGACACCCAAAGATGTACCCTCAGGGCTCTACTTTCTCCAGCTAAGTCTTAACTTGCCAAGTTTCTAGAAGTTTCCAAATTAGTTCCACTATTTGGGGACAAAAACTTTCAAAACTATGAGACAATTGTGTCTTTTCAGACTCAGACTATGACACTGTATGAAGCAGACGTGTGTGTGTGTGTGTGTGTGTGTGTGTGTGTGTGTGTGTGTGTGTG